TGGATTCAGAAGGAATTCAGAGGTTTTCCTTTTTAAATATATGCTGTATATACACCTTTAAGTTTTTCTGTTTTGCGACAATTTCCTTTTCTTTTAAAGATTTTCCGTTTTGTTAAATTACACAAAACAACTAGAATAATTATGGAGGAAAAGCATTAATTTACACGTTAACCATAAAATTAAAGAAAAAAAAAAAACAGGCCAAAGGTAAATAATGTCTTCATCAAATATCAATATTGCTACAAATTATAATTTGTTTAATTATTTGTTAAACATTTGACTGTAAAATTACAATAATTTCATTATATTTATATCAGCAAAAAAATAAAATCATTAGATATTTCCTGTTATTTGAAAGAAAATTATGTATATTAAGGAACAAAACAAAATGTTAGTTTTTCTACATTTTTTTTTCATTGCATTAAATTACATCTCTAATAAAATCAGAGCAAAAAAAACAAACAAAAAATAAAACAGGAAAATGTCCAAAATAAATCTTTACTTTCTCTTTATGTTTGACTGTATAATTCTACTAGTTTCATTTCATGTAAATCAGCACAAACCCCGTTATTTTATAGATATTTGCTGCTATCTGAAAGGAAAATGATGTATATGAAGGATTGAATAATGGTAAATCATTTTAACAGATTTTTCAAACATATTTTGAACTTTGGCTCAAATATTTGAAGTTTAATCAGAATTTCAACTGAAGCTATGAATTAGATAATGTAGAAAACTGTCAGTTTTACCTTTGGTCACTTTCTCAGCCGTGAGAACAAGACCAGGACACGACCCAAGAGTTTTGGAGCCAAAACAGAAATGTTACCTTTTACCTTCCTGTTACCACAAGTGACTTGGGTGTCGCTACCTGCCGTGGCAGCAGAAAACAAACTCAACACAACCACCCGCAGACTGAGAAATCACTTTTATTTGGATAGATAAGTTCAGACAGTACAAAAGAAAGATGCAAAAACAGAGGCATATTACTAAAAACAGTCCAATTCAAGTAAGAAAACAGTCCTTTAAATGCATAAGTGAGGCTCCCGTTGGATGAGGGTCGCCTGTGCATTTCTCTGGTGAAGTTAAACGCTTGTGGTGGCAGCAGGAATATGCAGTCTAAAGGAGGAACGTAGTCTTTAAAACAAAACCCAGATTAAAAAACAAAAACAAAAAAACAACAACAGCCTGGACTGGTTGAGAAGCTTACAGATCAAAAACGCTAACTGAGCTGCAGTCAGTTCGTTCTACACAAACATGAGGGGGACGAACATCGGTGTCGACTTTCTCTATTCAACGCAAGTCATTTCATCATCCGCACATTTTTTAAAAATGTCTTCTTTTTTTTTTAATGTTTCTTTTGAATCATTTGCGCGTGAAGTTCACGTGAGTTTCTCTCCGGCGCTGCAGGACTTCCTCGAGTCCTTGCAGGAGTGTGGTTAGTATTGGCATGCAGGATTAAAACGTGGCCTCAGTCGTGTCCACCGGCAGGAGACGAGCCGAACTGAGGGCGTGTTAGAAACAGCATCCGGTTCAGGATTACCGAGGCTGAACTGGATTATATTCGTCTAAAAGGTTCCACTAGATCTCTAAAAACACAAAGTAACAGTAGTTGTTTTTCCACACAAACTAGAAAATTCTGAGGTTTTACACGAGGGTTTCGTTTTTTTCCTCCACCACCAGAACGCGCCGCGCCGACTCGATTTATGTCATAAAACCCCTCAAGTTGGCAGCAGTGGTCAAAAATACAGAAAGGCTGATTTAAAGACATCAAAATGCCGACGGTTAACTCTAAAATCACTTCATCCTGGCGTGCGTCAGAACGATAAAACACGTGATGCTGCGGGTGATCTCACAGCAGCACGGCGGCTTCCAATTAAAGCAGTTAGTCCAATCGTGGTCTTGGTAATCGATTGATCAAATTCAGGAAAATCAGTGAAAAAATATGAAGCCTCATAATATGAGAATTTGCTGCTTCGTCTGCCCCGTACAGAGTAGCTCTAAACATCGAGATATTTAAAGATGCCTCCTCGTTTTCAACACTTCAATGTGCAACTGATTCCATTACTTCAAATGTTGGAAACTGTCAGCTATGTGAGGGATTCTGGACAGCATGCAGGAGCACAGATGTGGAGTTAGATATATGAAGATGTCCGAGCAGCCCTGTAGCATCCTGCGTGTCAGTATCTGGATATTTTATACTACCAAAAAAAACAAACAACAAACCATCAAGTGACAAGATTAGAAAAAAGGAATGGCTTGTACGATGCCTGGAGCGCAGATTTTGTTCTCTTTGGTGATGTTCCAGTTGACTCGCTCAGGCACGCCGACTACGGTTAAAGGAAACAGACTTGAGGGACTCTCCCAACGCTCAGCGCAGCTACGAACAGCTGGATGATGACGTCACTCCTGGATGATTGAACTATTTACTGACCTCGCTAACAGACCCTCGGCCACGTGACACTTCTCATTCCCGATTTTATTTATTTTTTTAACGACAGAGCCGCCGCACTTCATCTGCACCTGCTGCACTACTACAGCGCTACCGCTCCATCCAGAGGTGGAGAGCTGCAGCCCAGGGAGCACTTCTACAGCTACCACTGCGTCTCTAACACTACTACATATCATACTGTTGGCTGCTCTGGCTGGGGGGTAGTAGCTGTGGTGGAGGTGGGGCTGGTTCTTCTGAGGCAGGGGGAGGTGCTGCAGCCACGCTGGGGTTAGCGGCGCTGGAGTTGGCCTCCGAGCCCGCGGGAGGGTCTGGGGTGGCGGCAGTGGTGGCTGCTGCTGCTGCTGCTGGAGGGGTGCTGTTGTCTGAGGGTGGAGGGGGCATGCTGTTGCTGCTGCTGCTGTCGTCACTGGGGGCGCTGCTGCCGGGGGTGCTGCTCTCCCTGGGGGGCTCAGGAGGAGGGGTTGCTTTATCGGAGGCAGAGGAGGGAGGATCAGACGGGGGAGGTGGAGCGGACTGGGAGTCGGAGGGAGGTTCTGCAGGCGCTGCCTCGTCTAGAGAGGAATGAAGGACAGAGATGCTTATGGAAGGAAATGTCTCAGAGGGTGAAACTGGCATTAGTTCCTGCTTTAAAAAAAAAAATCGTCAGCACGTCATCAGAAGGTCAAAACCAGCAGCGTTGCTAGTCTGTCTCTCAGTACTCTGACGCCTCTATCCTGTCTGTGGCTCATAAGTGGAAACTAAACTTACTGGGATCATTTCAGTTGCAGATTAATCTACATTTGGTGCCACTTAAGCTGCAGTAGGCAGGAATCAGGAAGAAGGTGGGGGAAAGCTAGTTGCTGGCTTCAAAAAACTTCGGACTCCAATTCATTTAAAAAGTAGAAATTCTAACTAGTCGATATGGTGAATACGACATCATTTGAGTGTTTTAACTGTTACAGGAGGAATAATGGGCGACGAGACACTGTCAGTGTTAAATGTTTAAATTCAAGTTTGCTACTGAAATGTGATGTTCGTATACCACTAAACCTCAAATGCAAGAATAAAACCATCAACCACCATTTTAAAGTGTCAATTCCTGACTTAAAGTTTATTTAGGATCTTAATCAAATGCCTCAAACATCAAATCAGAACGTGGGTGCCGGTACCTGTCTCCATGGGTGTGGGCTTGTCCTCCTCCTTGGTCCCTGAGGTGGGGTTAGCGGTGCTGCTAGCATTAGCACCGCTCTGCTCTGCACTTTTGTTTGCAGCAGCCTCCTGTTGTTGCTGCTGCTGTTGCTGAGCAGCCTTCTCCGCCTGCTCGGCTGCCTCGCGCTCCCTCTCCTCGGCCCGGCGCCTCGCTGCCTCCTCAGCGGCCGCCATCTCTGCTGCGAGCTTCTCCATGTCCACCTCCACCTTCTGACTGCACAGCTGGAGGGACGGGAAGCAACGGTGTCAACACAACTCAGCTCTGTTTACAACGTGGTATGCAGACGCAATGTGAAATCAAAGGAGCAAGACACAGGTTTACTAATTCATCTACATAAAGCAGTGAAATGCTCCTTTTATTATTTCCAAATCTAACAAAACAAAGACACCACACGCGACACCCTCAGCTGTCTCTGTGTGAATATGTTCTACTGTACCCGCTTCAGTTCAGTGTTGAATGTGTCAGTGGTCTCCAGAAAACGTCTTTTCTTGTCCTGGTGGCGATCCTCGATCTGCAGAAGTTCTGCCTCCAGCTTCCTCTGAAATCACCAAAACACACCAGTGATGTCACCTCGAAGCACCGACAAACCCTCTCCAATACCAAAGCTACTGACTGGACACCAGGTCACATGTTCTCCTGACATGAATGGAAGAGAGGGCTTCTTGCCAGCCTACCTGGTGCACCATGAGAGACTGGACCTGCCTCTTGAGGACCTGCATGCGGGCGGTGGTGACCACCGAGCGGACGTCGGGCACCACGATCTCACTGAGGATGTCGCTGATGAGCCGGTGATTCCTCTGGAAGCGAGCGGCCGCCGTGTGCTTCACTGAAAAACCGTCATCGTAGTCTGTGCAGAGGGAAAAAGACGCATGAGGGAGACGTGGAGCAGACGAGGTGGTCGCTGTTACACCTGCATTCTTTTATATGTTCATAACTGAGACAAACTCAACACAGATTGTAGCTCCTGTGTTTTACAGCACCTGTATTCATTATTTAATATCTCAGCTACCTTAACTGACCCAATTTAAACCCTGTTTTCAGATATAAACTTGCCATCGGGGTCTTCAGCGGGCTGAATGCTCATGTACGGCTCTCCTTTGTCCATACGACTTTGCCGCTGCCTGCTCTCCTCCTCCATCGCCGCCTCGGCCCGGTTTTTGGCGTTGACGTAGGCCAGGTAGGCAGGAGAGTTGTGGTAAGCCTTCAAAGAGTCGTTGTACTCGATCTGTGAGGAGGGGGGGAGAGGAAATGTGAATAAGAAGTTGAGGTAGATGACGATACCCCTACCTGTCCTCAAGGTACATGTCATGTGTTGGTACAGTTCTGATTTTAGAATGCCTTCTTATTGTCAAGTGTGTTCTGATGATTAAAGGGACTCAAAATGAATCTTTTGATGATCAAACTCAGATACCTGTGTGTTATCACAGGGTGGCGCCTGAGCTGCTCCACCCTCCTCATTCCTATCCACCCATCAGGGCTCTGTTCCCAGTAATTTAACTTTTTTTTTCTTGCATATTCAACACATGCAAGGATGTTTTTGGTTCTTCTCAGGAGTCTTAAAACTAACCTAAAGCTCGGGGCGCTGCTATAGCTCACCTGGTTGAGCTGGCGTCCCATGTGCAGGGCTACAGTGCCAATGTGGAGGTCATGGGTTCAAATCCCGCTCATGACCCTTTCCCACATGTCCTCCCCCCATTCTTCTCTCCTACTTTCCTGTCTCTCTCTCACTAACACTATCCAACAAAGGCCAAAAAAATAACTTAAAAAAGCTTAGTTAGCTGGCCCATGAGCTTCAACTATATTAAGGTATGATGAAGAACACACATTTAAATGAGTTACCCTTCCTTACAAGACAAAAAAATCAGACCATAATAGTCTGAAAGTTCTCAGGCTGTTAAAAGACCAATGATTCAACGCATCATCTGAACCATATGTTCACTACACTTTAAGTCTGAATCACTGTCATTAAAATGAGCTAAAATCCAAACTACATGCGGCCAAACTGCTTTTGATAAGAAACACTGAAAAACAACATTGACCAACATTTACAGCAACAGTCCTGAAATACAGACATAATGAAGTGCAGACCTACTCAACCTATCACATAAAACCAGTGGTTCTCAAACTGGGGGTCGGGACCCCCATGGGGGTCTCAAGATAATTTCAGGGGGTCGTCAGATCATTGTAAAAAAAAAAAAAAGTTAAGCTTACATTTATCAAATAAATTTGCATTAGGGCTTTCAAAATTGAAAGTGTTTACTTCTTCATATTATGATTTGATTATATTATTATTCTTTTTCACTCTATTTAAAATTATTTTCTTTTGTTTTTAGATTTTTTTTCCCCTTTAATTTGCTCGAAATAAATTCTATTCATTCATTCATTCAAAAGAAAATTAATGTAAAGAGATTAATCTGTGGAATTAACACATTCATTTTAACGCATTAATGCACAAACAACAAAGTCACTACTCGTGATAGATTAAGAATTCAAACTGGGGGGTCACAAACACAAACTTATGTTATCTTGGGGATCGTGGCTCAAAACATTTGAGAACCACTGACATAAAAGATGATCATGGTTCTGACTCTCCACTAGTGCTGCCTTAAATTAAAAGCAGAGGCTCACTCTTCCTCAAGATTATGTCATTTAAAAGGAGCTAATTAATCCAGTTACTGCATGAGAATTCAAAGGGCTCTTGAGTCTGACATAGTTAAGATAAAAGGGTCCTCTTCATCACAACACCTGCAATGTATATCATTTTGCATTTCAAAGCATAAATATCTTCCAGGAGCTCACCTTCTCAGCTTCGTACTCGTTCAGGTAGTCCTGCTTCTCTTCGTCGGTCAGGTCCCTCCACATCCCTCCGATAATCTTTCCAATTTCCCACAGCTTGAGGTCCGGGTTGGAAGCTTTCACTTGGTCCCATACCTTACCCACACAAACACGCCAATTATTCACAACAGGTCGACCCCAAACCGACCGTAACGCTGCTACAAGACAGTGAAGGAAATAAAGGAGGAAAAGTGCAGAGGAAAGAAACAGCTCCCAAGATGATGCGTCTAACTGGATGGAAGTATGAACTGGCATCAACGTGAAGGAGATTTACTTTAGCTTGATGAAATGGGATGGTATATTTCTAATGACAGAAGCTACGGTTTTATGCCAGCGCAAATTCTTAAGAGCAGATTTTGTCTCTGAGCAGCATTCAAGGTTAACATAACAGCTCTGTAACAGGGGAAAAAAAGCAGGGGAGAGATGAGCTTTTAAAAGGGGAAAATAAAGAGGCAGGAGCAGACCGTCCTTGTGAAGGAAACATAAAGAGATGTTGTAATTTCTCTTTAGTGTTGACAAGCACAGGAGGCTACTGTGAGCCAACAGAATAAGAGAGTGGAGAGTCTCCACTAGGTGGTTGAGGTGGTGGTGAGGCGTCATGGCTTGGCTGTTTCCCACCCTCAAACCCCTGCCAACTTTTCAGGGGATGGGAGGACAAGCAGTAAAAGCAGACACCGTGGATGGGTGTCTTACCTTCCTGCTTACCTTCCGGCTGTACCGCATGTATGGCATCAGAGGCTTGTCTGGAGGCTTGGGAGGCTTTGGGACGGTGATGCCCGAGGAGTTCTGTGGAAAGAAGAGAGGAGGAAGGAGAAGGAGGGAGAGGTGGGACAAAGAAGGGGAGGTGAAAGGGATGGAGATGAAGGAGCAACAAACAAATAAGGGGAAGGTCGAGAGAGAGAGAGGGGAAAGAAAGCAAATAAAAACCATCATAAAACATCAGCTGATTATGGGTCTGATTATAGAGAGGCTTGTGTAAAAGGTAAAACAAGAGGTGCACATGTAAACATGACAATACGTAAACACAGTCAGGAACACTAAAGCATTCCTGAACGCTTTGTCACAGAAGGGATAAGAGCACTTTTGCATTTCATGTGCATTTATAGACAGAGAATATTCGAGGGAGGCTGTCAAACATAAATAAATCTAACAACTGAACGCCTGGCTGGTATGAGTGTGCATCTCTGACCTCTGAAACTGACACTGGAGGTCATTTTTACAAATTGTTAAAGGACCAAATTTAATCTGCTTGAACTCGTCGGTGCTTTAAAGGACAAAATTCATGAATTAATTCCGACTGCATACTATTAATCGGCTCATTAATAGTATCGAGTTGTCCGAGAACAACTTAATTGGCCGAAACAGAGCTGCTAGCATCATGCACGGAGCCCTGGTTGATTTCACTATATGCCTGGGAAACGATGGCGGCCAGTGCAAAAAAAACAAAGTGAGGCAATAAATGAGACGCAAGTGCAGAACTGAGAACGGTCCCCTCGTCTCATTTGAAACCCAAAATAATGCAGCCAAATGAAAATATGCCAGTTCTCAGATTCTATTGTCCCCGTTACCTGAGTAACTTTCCCCTTCTCATATCCTACATCGAGTCCAAGACATTTTCTTACTCCCTCTTATCCTCAACCCCCCGTACACCTTTCTGTTTTTTGTTTTTTTTTTTCCAAATCCCTCCATCAATTCATTACCCTGCTGGAGCCTCCGGAGCTCCCTCCCAGCCGGAGGTTGTTGTAGGCCAGATGGCTGTAAGGGTTGTAGCCCACAAACCCTGGGGTGGAAGGCATTTGCTGATGGAAGACAAATGAGACAAAACACGAATGAGAAATGGCTCACAAACAAGAGGAGGAAGAGGGATAAACATAAATAAGTGAAAAGGAGGGGAATACATGAAAATATATGTTGATTTTTTTTTTTTTTTGCTTGTTTGTTTTCCATGACCTAACCATGCAAGGCAAAAAAGGCAACTGGCCGGCAGGCTGGCATTCAGAATGAGTGCACAACATGTGAATGCTGCGTGTGAATCACATTACTCCTAATTAAGCACAAACTGCATTTTGTTCACCCGTGTCTCTGCACGGCTACGTCTCAGCTTTTACACAATGTTGTGCCCTGCTGCTGAATGTAAGGAAATGAAAAGCATTAAAACAAGCACGTTGACTCTCTAAACTGCACACATGTCTACCAACATTACAAGTGCCCGACCAAAGTTTCATGTCAACAAGGTTTACGTTCCAACTCGCTCCCCCTTAGCGGTAACGTTCAATAACCCTGTCTCTGTGCGAGACCTCAAACAAGTGGTGGCGTGACAGGAAAAAAGCAGGAGTGAAAGCGATGATGGAGAGCCGAACAAGATTTGTGGCAACCTCGGTGTGTTCAGACAGAGAGGAAGAGATTAAAGGAGAGCAAGAAAGAGAGGGTGGAAAGACCTAGCGTCGGCCCTCGGCCTCTAAACAACGACTGCTAAGGCTGGAGCTGAGGGTTGGACACTTACTGTTGTTGGGGCGGGGGGAGGGGGAGGGGCGTAGGATGGGCGTTCTGTACAAAACAGAAAAAACAACAACAGTATTGTTAGTGAGCCGTTACATCAACCTGTGTCATTGACAGACTTTACCCCCTACTAAGTCTATTTTCACATTCATAACTACAGTAAATGTCTACTGGGTTTTCCAAAACATGGCTGACCTACATTTCAAGACAGAGCACCAGAGCTGCTACTGATGCTTCACTAATGTGCTTGATGATACACATTGGAGCCTCTTAGTGGGTCTTAGCAGAAGTACTGCATTGTTTTTCCAATGCATCGTTGTTCACAAAACAGCTGAAGAACCCAACACAGCAGATCAAAACCTTTAACTGTATTGTACACAGCAAAGCGGTGCAGCACGTGGTGTTTATTCACCAAGATTTCTCGACTGTCATCCAGAGCGATTGCTTCAACAAATAGAAGAACCAGAGACATTATGTTTTTTGACCACAGGTTCTCTTTGTTTGTATGAAATTTGAATGTTTTCACATCCCACATGAGGTTCAAAAGGCCCACAAAACCACACAACAGCTGACTCTAGGCTAGAAGATCCGTAAACACAAAGCATTTTAGACTCAAAATCGGTGTTCCTGCTGTCACACTCACAACCAACAAGTCTGAAAAGCACTGGCTTGAAGAGGCAGGAATTCAAAACCCCAAAAATGACGGAAAATGTTATTAATTGCACTGATAAAAAAAAGATTGACCAAACTCCATGGCATCTTATATCCAAGTCCTACATCAAAAGTAACATTGCTTTAGTGCTTCTATACTTTGCTTTGGTGAACTCATGAAATCAAGTGTTTGAAGTATAAACTGAGTCAGGCCTCGTCCGCACGTAGCAGGTATCTCACAAAACAAAGATAATTTTCTACGATGTTTCCTGTCATCCACACGAAAACGCAGATTTACGGCATTAAAAAAGATTCTTTTAAAAACCTCCGACCAAAGTGAAGATCTGCGAATCCTCCGTTAATGTGTCTGCATGTGGACGTCAATAATCTGGGTTTTAGGTTTTGAAACGTCACTGCCTGCAACAAAATATGTTCTTTACATCACATATGCGACCCGTGTTTACATTTGGAAACAGCGTGGACGCCCTCAGAGCTGTGTCAAAACTTGTCCAGGCCCAGATACCGCTCAAGGTACAAGAACACAGGCGAAGGACGACGTTATCTTATTTTATTTTCCACCACCTTGCCATTCCACATCCGAGGCATGTTCTCTGTCAAAGACACCGGCGCCGGTTTTTGGTCAGACCGGGACGCACTGCCAGCTGGTGGGAGAACTTTGAGACGGAAATCGTGCTCCAGGAGGTATGTTGTGACAATTTCCATACGTCCCGGTCGTCACTCCTGTTGTCAGAGTTATTACATCCTCACGTAGAATATGAACGTGCTTAAAAACGCACTAATGCAGTTAGGTGTGGATGATTTCTTTTTTTTCTAAAAACGAGGTGGTGTGTGCGTTAGTTTTTTTCTAGACGGAGGGGGGAGGATATTCGGTTTTACAAAAACCCTGCTACATGTGGACAAGGCCCGAGACGTATGACACATCAACAATATGTTTTCATTATAAAATGCCTCTAAAATGACTTCTGCCATGTTTACACCTAACATCTAGCGCTACGCCTGAGTTTTTGCATCTCTAAAGTGAGGACTTGTGAAAATGGTGCTGACCCAATTATAGTTTTAAACCTCCAGGGTTGCGTTGTGGTTTGGGCAGGCAGAAGAAAAACTTTTTCAAAATGGTGATGCAAGACAGACACTAAGGTAATTCAGCATAGATGATGTATTAGACTCGTAGCATTGCTGATCTTGTTGCCTATTGTTGGAGCTGTTGTGCAATTCAGGAACCTGTGAGCTCACTTTTCACCATTGTTGCTCTTCCTCCACATTTTCTACAACAAAGCAACCCTGCATCATGTTTACCATGACACCTCCATGCCCATGTATTCTCACCAGCGTTAGTATACATGGAGATTATTTCAGAAACAGAGCTCTTCTGGACAGAGGTTGTTTTCGTTTCATGTGTTTAAATGTGTTGATGTGGAGTTGGCTTGAAATAACAGCCAATATCACTGCAGCTACATCTGCATTAGCAAAAGTATCAGCCAATAAATAGAAAATCAAAGTGCAGAAATGGCACAAATGGATGTTTTGAAACCGTGTTGCCACTGCAGAGAACATTTCTTCATTGCAACAAAAACAAGCACCAAAAAACAAAATCTTATGAAAAGTTAGTTCATGATATAGATTACTTTTTTTTAAATCTACGAAAACACCACGTACATGCTTAACAATGCTAATATCCGCTCCAAATAACCCGAAACAGCCAATGGATGTGACCCTCAAATAAAGACAGTCACCTCTGATTGCAAAAACAGGGGACTGTGGAGGTTATTGCCATTTTGCTGTTACAAATAATGCCATTTTTAATTATGATTATTAGTATTTATAGCACCGTCTTCGCTCCCACACATAATAAAGACTATACATTAAAGCAAAGAAAACAGTTTCCGATATACTGATGACTGTTTACTACACTATCACACATGCTGTTTGCCTGAGGTACCGATCAAGTGATTCATTTTTTGCTCGGTTCTGTTATTACAGGAGTATTTACTTACTTGACATCGCGGCTGGAGAATGGGCTACGGAGAGTAGACTATTCACATATTGGTGAAGCTGGATAAGAAAACATGAGGAGACATAACAAAAATTAGCTCCAGTTTAGTCGAGGAAATAAAGCAGAAAAAGGCTGGAAAATGTCTGCAGATGACAACAATGGCTGACTGGGCTTAAAAAGCTAGCATTAGCCCACCAGGCCTGGCCTCCTAGCTAAACTAGCTAACACAAAGAAACCATTTGACTCATATATGTTCGAGCCGATAGTCAAATTCTCTGCATTTTGGAGCAATTTCGTTGCAAACATGCACACAAACACTAATGTGTGTTTAAACGAGCTCTGCTGACACTTTTGAAGAGAAACGATCTCGCTGGACGTTTGAATAAACCTAGCTAGCAGCTAAAGCTAACGGCTAACAGACAATAAGTAACAGTCCTGCTACCGCTCAGCACATGGAGGTAACCAGCGAGCCTCGCTAGCTAAATTGAAACAAAAAAGCAATTCAAATTCATTTAAAGTCGTGTCTGCTTTAGTTACAACATTTAAAAATGTGTCAGTGAGTAATTTTGTTTGAAACAAGGCAAACACACTCACTCAGCCGTCCTTTGTTCCCTCCGTAGGGCCGCTGGTTCCGCCTTTCACACTCACCGGAAGTCGTTTTTTTCCTTTGGTGGGAAGAGAAGCGAGAAAAAAAACGTGCGGACTACACTAAGAAATACGACAAAGTTTTAAATCAGCATTACCTCAAAATACACGTCGGGGGAGACAGTTTTCTGCAAGGGTATATAAAGGTTCCTCTTTTGTAGCAATGGAGTCTTCTTTACACCAAAGATTGTGCTAGAATGATCAGTATGGATCTGTAGTCGTCAAAACTGATTGCGCGTTTAGTTTACTTTGTACGGTAAAGCGTGTGGGGGCTTCATGGTGCGTTCACATGCATCCCGTAAACTCACGAATCTATACAGGAATGGCCACAAAGGTTTTACACTCCTTTTTTTTGCCCTTTGTTGTGTCATTATGTCCGTGTCCTGTTACTAAAGCATTACCTCTGTAATGATACTAAAGTCACACCCGACATGTATACGTTGATATACATGCTGATTTAAAAGATAAATAAATAAAATGGAAAAAAAAGAGAGACTGATCAGAGGTACAGACAAGTGGAGATGAGAGGAGGTGGGAGAGGATTCTTCTATGGTTGAATGTATTTGAGTTTTGTGATAACAGCTGTAGTCTATTTTTTTTTTTTTTTTGGATTGTTAATATCTAGCATTACATACCTAAAGAGGAAATTGTTACGATTTTAGTGTTGATTCTTGATTTATTAAAAAATGCATGTTTAAGAAGAATATGCAGGAGTTTGCTGATGACAAATTGATCTGATATCTTGATGGAGAATTAAAAATCTGCCTCAATGCATGGATATTTGAGTATGACTTTAGCATTGAATTATTTTAAAAATGCTGCCGTCATACATCTTGAAAATCATCACAGATCTGCTGCTTCGGTGAAAGAGCGAATATAATGACAGGGGAGTTTTGGCAACAAAGGAAAATGAGGAAAAAGCTCCCCGTCGGCACCCACATGCTTTACTGTACTAAGTAAAGTAGACACACAGCCAGTGTTTAAGTGCAGATGGCGTGCCTGCAGGATTTTAAGTAATGCACGAAGATGGAAAACTGGAGTGATACTTAGATTTCCTCGGCCCAGGCTGTTCCAAGAATTTTCATATGTAAACGCTGCTTAATCCTTCGAATGATTTGCAAAGGTTCAATTTGCAACCTAGACTTAGAAAGTCGTAAAATGTGTACCATGTTTTTTATACCACAAATCGTCCTCCAGCCATAAACAATGTCAGCATCTTAATTTTCACTTCAACTAAATGACTTTAACCAGAAATGCACTGAACAGTAACGCAAAAGTACATTTATAAAACTGAATAACCCCAAACTTTAATGCCTTGGGTTCTGCGTCAGTGGTACCATAGCACTTAGTACAGTTCAGTACAATAGGATCAATAGGAAAAACATGCCAAGGAAGCACAGTCCTGCTTTTTTGTTTAGCAGTAAAAATTCTAAATGTTGAACCTGGATCTTCATCATAGCACAAGCTGCCTTTGCAAAGGGAGTCATGACTTTTGGAGAATTTCTGTGAATAATATTGGGAATATTAGAGTATAAATTTGTCGGTGAGACATCTTTCTCTTTTATCTTTTTTTTTAATTATTTACTAATGACAACAGTTATTATTATGACACAGTTGGTGTTAATTTTAGAATTTATGTAGGCCACAGCAGAACCAGAAGGTGGGAACTGAGAACCTTGGAAGTTCATAATGACAGATGTGTCAGCATCAGCAAAAGTAGACGCCTCGGTCAGTAGTTAAACTCTGAATGAAGGCCCCAAAAACGGCCACTGCTCTTCCAAATGTCTTCACACTCAACACCATCCATCCCCGGTAATACACCTGCTAAGTTTAATGTAAATCACACGTACAGTAACGAAGGTATGTGTTAAGAACAGACACATACAGACAGAGTTTCAATTATTTATTTATTAGGGAGGTTTATGACAAATCTACAACAAACTGAACATCATGTATAGATCCTAGAAGTGACACAACTTAGAGAACAGGTCAGATTATTCCAGACAAATAAATATGAGTGTGCAACTAACTTCTACGTTCACTTCACTTCTTGAATTAACACTCAATAATGTGCAACAACTTGGTGCAATAACTACGTATTTATGTGCAATAAAATGCTATTTGTTACCTCTGTGCAATAGCACACTACTTGTTACGCTGTA